TTCCCTCTTTCCACTCATACTCCTTTGTTTCATCCACCTCTTGTGTCTTGTCATTAACTTAGATTGTAGGCTAATTATAATATGTGGTGTCTTTTTACTACATATTTGTACAGTGCCTCTTTACTGTGTGTTTGGACTCAGGCATTAATCAGGTTAAATTAATTTCACTCAAATGGAGGTCATTGATTCTACATCAGAGTTATCCTTTCATGTCCATGTTTGACTGGTGGCATATCACTAATTATCATATACTGGTCTGTACTGTTTTTGTTTTGTTTTGTGTGATAGATTCCTAAATAAATCCATAAATCTGATTTAAGGAAAACGCAGAGTATATTCATGGACTGGTATAGTATCCACATCAGTGGCCAACATTTTCAACTTAGATGCCTTATGTTGGCCACCAAAATACGAATTTAGGTCCTGACCTTAAAATGCATTTTGCATGAGCAGAAGCCTTCATCTGTATGGAATCCTGTGAATTAAGTGGGGCTCCACACAAGTACAAAGTTCTCCCTGTACACAATGCACTGAAGGATTGGGGTTATATATTTACAAATACATTATTCAATTAGTTCTCTAATCTGTTGTGTTGAAAACTGTTGCACCCTTAGGTTGCAGACAGTGCTGTCTGAAAATCAGTATTTTTCAACTATTCAGCTGCTTGGCACCCACATACCAGTTAATCTTCTCACATTAAAATATAGTCCTCAGGAGAGAAATATTTTGCCCCTCACTGTAATAAACTGCATGTTTAATTAAAGTGATTTTATTAGAGTGATTTACTGTAATTATCATCTCATGAATAGCATCTTTTCAGTGTAGACAACATTGTAACTGAGTGTTATAATGAGGATGGAGTGTGTGCTGTCCAGTTACACGGCCAACTCGAGCCAGCTTTGGCAGTCTGGACGGAGAGAAAAGCTGTGTTTAGTTTTCCATTCATAGAACAGAGTCCAGAAAATAAGCAATTTCAGGCATTGATATTCATGTTAGCATCCAATTTTTGTATGGGATGATAAATATAATTAAGAAGTAAATATTTCCACAACCTAATTGCTATGTCTATGGTCTCTGTTCTGCTCTGTGGGTGCTTGGTTTAAGGGGGTTTAATGATGAATTAGATAGATAGAAAAAATACATCAGTTGGGTTAGTCAATTAATCCCAGGATTCTGTGTATAGAGAAGGAGAAGCAAGTAAGTGGCTGAGATCACCTGGAAAGGGGAGAAACCGATGGGGTCATACTCTTGCTTCAATGAAAACCTACTAAAATCTGTCTCCAATTTACTCTGAAGAAGTAGTGCCAAGGGTGAGCTTTCTTCTTCTTCCCCTCTCCACCCTCTCCCATCCATATACTGCATCAAGGTAAAAACGCCAACTGTATTTCTGTATGTGACTGAGATATTAGGTTACATTACTTACAAGTAGCAAAGACATGAAAGAACTATACAGGTCATCTGAGATATGTGCAGGTAAAATCTGAGTACAGTAGAACCTCATAGTTACGAACATCAGAGATATGGACTGACCAGTCAACCACACACCTCATTTGGAACCGGAAATGCACGATCAGGCAGCAGCAGAGACCAAAAAAAAAAAAAAAAAAGAAAGAAAAGAAAAAAGCAAATACAGTACAGTATTGTGTTAAATGTAAACTACTAAAAAATTAAAGGGAAAGTTTTAAAAAAAGATTTGACACGGTAAGTAAACTGTTTTTATGCTGGTTTCATTTAAATTAAAATGGTAAAGGCAGCATTTTTCTTCTGTATAGCAAAGTTTCAAAGCTGTATTAAGTCAATGTTCAGTGGTAAACTTTGAAAGAACAACCATAACATTTTGTTCAGAGTTACGAACAACCTGCATTCCTGAGATATTTGTAACTCTGAGGTTCTCCTGTATGTGGCTTATGCTAGACTTTAGAGACTAGTTGTTTTAGAGAATATATTAGAGTTTTCAAACATTTGTTGGTTCAGTACTATTTTATTAGCCCTCCACCTGTAAAGCCAGCCTCCTTATTACCATGAATGTACAGATCTTAGAGTACCTTGCTTGTACAGGTTTCCGAGTGAAAGTAATATTAGTAATTTAGTTTTAATAATGTTAAAAACAGTTTTTCTATCTATCAGATTTTTGAAATTATCTGGAATTAGAAATTAATGCTGTAGCTGACAGTACATACACAAAACGGATAAAGTGATGACAATAATAATAATACAAAGCAAAAAATATGATTAGAAAACAACCCAACTGCAATGAGTATTTAATATTGCATTCCTTTTCCATACATCTGCCCTGGGAAAAACTATTTTTAAAACCTGTTCAGAACACCATGGTTTGAGCCAAAAGAGCTGAACCAGTTTTTAAATTGGTTGGAATTTTGTAGACTAGGCCCTTGTATTTCATTCTCTTTTTGGCTCTTTGACCTTTTCTGCACTAGAGAGATATAGCATGCTAATTAACATTTTACTTTATTAGTTGATTGTGACACACCTTGCATTCATACGCACAATTCTTCAGTACCAGGCCAAGTAGACTGTGTGTTATCAGGGTCAGTACTATCTGATCTTACATCATTCCAATCTCAGCAACTTCTCTGCCATTATGGTTGCAGACTGGTGGTAGTCCTCAGCTATTATCCCATACTGCAGTGCTGATCTTGTGAAGTTTCCATGCAGAAAGCGCTACTTCCAGGAGCTGAGCAGGAACTGTGTCATAGGTATTTAAAGGCCATTACATCTGAAATGTTCATTATATAATGAACCACTTCCTCAAGCAGCTCCGAGAAACAGCGGCATGTTCCCGCTCCAGCTCCTATGTGGAGGTGCAGCCAGGCAGCTCTGCGCACTGCCCTGTCCATAGGCGCTGCCCCTGCAGCTCCCATTGTTTGCAGTTCCCAGCCAATGGGAGCTGTGGGGCAGTGCTTGGGAGGGGGCAGCATGTGGAGCCCTCTGGCTGCCCCTATGGATCAGAGCCGGAGTGGGGACATGCCGCTGCTTCCGGGAGCCATGTGGAGTGGGGCAAGACCCTGCTCCCGCTCCCCGGCTAGAGCACCAGAGCAGGGCAAGCCCCGGACCCTGCTTCCTGGCAGGAGCTTGAGGGTCGGATTAAAATGTCTGGAGGACCAGATGTGGCCCCCGGGCTGTAGTTTGCCCACCACTGCTCGATACAATGGTTGTGTAAGTCTGAACATAGAGAATTGAAATGGCTGAAACAATACATACATATGCAATTTTGTTGGAAAACATAGATGTATTATAAATTAAGTATTTTATATTTTTATATAACTGTGGCTATTATAGGTAAAGCAATGATAACTGGACAATTTTCTGAGCAAATCAAGGATAATAGATGTGATTCTCATGTACAGTAAGGCTTGTTTTACTGTTCTGACAGTGCACAGTACACTTAAATTAAGTGTAAATTTACTTCCACTTTAAGGCCCCTTTATACTGCCACGGCGGCGTAAAGGGGCCTTTGTATAAATGAGAATCAGGCCCAACATTTCCGTCAAACTGTTTAAAAAATCTGTTTTGTGAATTGGAGGGTATAGGTGCAAGAAATATGCCAATTGACTAGAGAAATCTTGATAGACCATATTTATACCTTCCTTCAAGCTATGTTAGCAAATCCATCCAATTCTTTATTTACAATGATGACTGTTACTGTTTGAGTGAAACCATATGGGAACCATATGGGAACTATTATTAACCATTAATGCAGGATTGAAAATTGTATTTGTAGTTAATGGGCTGTATGTATGCTTCATTTATCCAAAGCCAGAAGAAACATTATGGGAAGTTCCTGGGTATAACTGTAAAGGTTCACTATTTGGAGAAGTTCTGTGTATCGATATAAGATACTTCAGAGTAGACCTGAACATTCATTCAGAATATGACTGGTTTAAAATACTTCTGTAATTTATATGTTCCAGTTATATTTATTTATATTTGTGTGTTTTTGGGGAGGTTACAAGCAAAACTGAAAATTAAACCTGTTCATTAACGTTTGTGACGTGCACAAACACTTTAGCACTGTAGCTTCTTAACATTTGTCCTGCCATGATTTATTTGGAGGACTAAGTGAAGGTTACAGGATTGGGCCCTTAAAAACAAACAAATCTAGGATATTTGAGTCTTCCTGCCTGTTTTCATGTGTAATTGTTCTAAATTATGTATTTGATGACTTATTGAGTATGTGCAAAAAGAAAAGGAGTACTAGTGGCACTTTAGAGACTAACCAATTTATTTGAGCATAAGCTTTCGTGAGCTACAGCTCACTTCATCGGAAGCAACACGGCTGCTACTCTGAAACCTGAGTATGTGCAGGATATTTTTTGATGAGTGAACAAAACATTGTTTGTGTTTCGTACTTTGGCAAAGAATAAGCTATACCACCAGCAAAAATGATGTGATAAACAAAAAGCTGCTACAAGTATGAATCATTGAACGTGGATGTTCTTCGATTGTTAAGCTACAGCTATTTTAAAGTTTTGTTTTGTTTTATTTTGCAGTGGTCTGGGGGTGCACATAGCTATTGCCTAGGTGTCTCAAAGTAGATATAGAAAAGGCATTTTTTAACCACGTGCCTCAGATAAAAATCACTTTTTAAATAGGAGAAATGCAGAATTTTAGACCCATGGATTCCCCATTCTTTCCACAGACAGACTGATTCAAATGTTTCATATTCAGACTTCTTCGATTTGTAAAATACTGCAGTGTTCTAAACTCAAGAATTAATGTGTTCTAATAATCTAATTAGATTTATTGGATAACTTTTTGTTGGATCCTATTTGTTTTCTGCCTCAAAAGAAAAAAATCAGTGTTATGGATACAGTTGATTTTTATTGGGAACTGTTAAACTTCCCAGTTTTTATTATATGAAGCATGTATTTCTTTTATATGACAAATCACAAAGATTAGGCATCATAAAACTGAAAGACTCACAATGTATAACTGTTCATATTTCAATTAAACAAGTACATTTACTTATTATTTTGCAGGTTAAATTTTTTCCGAGATGTTCCTGACTTCCAGGTACTGGCATGTGGTGGAGATGGAACAGTGGGTTGGATTTTGGATTGCATAGGTAATGAGGAGGTTTATTTATACTTGCTCTTGAGCTGTTATGTTTTGGAAATCTCTTTATAAGACTATATATCTTTTTTATCAGCTTGTGGAGCCAACAATTTCAAAACAACATTTCAGTCACTTTAAATGCTGATGGTCAGACTCTTTGAAGTATGAAATCCATTAGCTTTTAAAAGTTATTGTAATTGAAAATAATTAAGAACATCTAGAATACCCGGGTCACTAATTCCCATCTGGTATTATTTGGGTATCTACAGATTAGGGGTGGTAGAATTTGTTTAATTTTTGCTTCTGTCTCCTTTCTTCAACCTGAATCGAACGGGAACCATTTTCAAAGTTTAGGGCAGTTCCTGCAAGTTCCCTTTGGTCATCCCCTCCTTTCTATTACCATATTCTTGCTTTCTCTCTGTGACCTCCCAAATACCTTTGACAGGGTCTGATTCATGGTAGAGTAGGTCTCCAGTCTCTGTGTAATGCCTCACTGGCACATGCTTTATTTAAAAGTTTAGATTCCTATAGTCAGTCAAATATTGTACATTTTGGAATGATCGAATGAAGGAGCCCCTGAGGTCATGAAATGTGAACTTTGTGAACCACTCAAGGCTTATGGGAGAAAATTGAGACTATTGGCACCAAGTGATTGGTTATTCAACCCTGGGAAGGCTCCAGAGAAAAGAGTTGGAGGTATGTGGTATTGGAGGTCATGAAAAGAGAGTGTGTGTTGATGGGGGAAGGCATAAGGGAGTCAGTTGGAGTTTTGATTAGGCGTTCTGGCTAGTGTGTGCTGTTGGGAGGTGTGGGGTAAGGCAAATGGACCACAGAACCTTTTGAAGTTAAGGGCAAAGTAGAGAAGACACCTTTCTAAACGAGATAAAAAGGTTTTGTAAAAACAAAATTGCCTAATAGCCATAAACCATTGTACCTCAATGATAAACATATTGCTGAAAGTGTAAAGTTTCTAAACTCTTCTCCTGTCATTAGGTAGTCACGGGGAATGCCTCAGATTTCCATGCAGTTTCCCTTCTATTATAGTGGAATTATCTCAACAAAATATTGTATTTTGGCTAAATATTGGCTTCCACAGCTTTGAGTAGTGCAGTCTTAGTAAGCAGGTTTTGGTTCAATCAAGCTCACAAATGCCAGAAAGAGATTATGATAGCCACAAGCTATGTACATAAAGTTTAGGAAACTATCTGCTCTGAGAAATAAATATCCTCTTCATTTGGAAATTCTTTCCCCCTCTCGTGTCCCCCCCCCCCCATCTCACTGCCCCCAACATAAAAAGGAGAATCATAGTTTGGATCAAAGCAAGAGAAAATCCCAAATCTTTATCTAAGCAGTTTGAGCCTTTTAAACTGAACTTTTATTTTTTTCTAAAAAGCTTAGGGTTTTAAATTCCACTTGTAAATACCAAATCCTCCACAAGCTTTCTGCAAAGATGACAGATAAATTGGTAAAATAACACCGTGTTCCCCTCAGATCTACTGGATGTGTGAACTGGGTGAAAATTACTGTTAGTGTGCACTTCAACCTGTGTAATCAAATAGCTGATTAGAATAATAGAATATCAGGGTTGGAAGGGACCTCAGGAGGTCATCTAGTCCAACCCTCTCTCAAGGCAGGACCAATCCCCAACTAAATCATCCCAGCCAGGGCTTTGTCAAGGACCTTAAAAACCTCTAAGGAAGGAGATTCCACCACCTCTCTAGGTAACGCATTCCAGTACTTCACCACCCTCCTAGTGAAAAAGTTTTTCCTAATATCCAACCTAAACCTCCCCCACTGCAATTTGAGACCATTACTCCTTGTTCTGTCATGTGCTACCATTGAGAACAGTCAAGATCCGTCCCCTTTGGAACTCCCTTTCAGGTAGTTGAAAGCAGCTATCAAATCCCCCCTCATTCTTCTCTTCTGCAGACTAAATAATCCCAGTCCCCTCAGCCTCTCCTCATAAGTCATGTGTTCCAGTCCCCTAATCATTTTTGTTGCCTTCCGCTTTTGTTGCCCTTACGTTATTTTTGTTGCCTTTACCTTGTTCATGCAAATATCAGTTTAGGACTAGGCGTAATGCTAGTAATAATGCTGTTCATTACTACTAAATGTGTTTTGTGCACTGTTATTTGAAATTATTTGTTGTTTTGTGTTGCTGTAGTTGTGTATTTGAAATATGTGTATCTTAAATATTCTTTCTGAGTGAAATTTACTCCATTTCAAAGGGCCACAAAAGCCTGTCCACTCTGTGATAACCCTTTGTTGGGGTGTGGGTGTGAGTGGAGCATGGAACTTTGGGGTGGGACTGCTGGATCTATGCTTATATCTTATGGACGCAATGAAAGGGGTATGTGTGGAGTCAAAAACTACTTGTGTTCCAGCCTGTAAACTTTCAAAGTACTGGTTTTCATACATAAAGCCCTCAACATTTTAGTCCCAGACTAACTTAGAGGCCTGATTACCCATATCTGACTGAACACATAATCAGTGCTTATCCTGAATATTGGAACTTGATTTCCCAAGCTTCCGGGTGCTGGTTCCAGGGCACTTTGGGTGGTGGAGCCTCGTGGAATTCGTTCCATGTGGAAATACAATTAAACATAAACTTGGCCACTGTAAGAAAAATCTACAAGGCTCAATTCTTTGCACATTCTCAGCTGATTAAATTCTGCTTTTCTAGCTGAGTGGTAAAGCTGAAAGCAACAGGGAGCATGGTGTTCAGTCTTAATGAGATCTTCAGTATCTCTGTTTAAGACAGATACCATATTCATGGGTGCCAAAAATGCCTGTAATAATAATAATAATGTAATTATAGATTGGAATAGTAGTAGTTGTGGAGGGGCTGCACTGCAGCCAATAAAATGCTTGTCTGTGGAGGGTAGAGTTTCCTTTGCAAAGCATGTTTCACTGAACTGTTAAATCAAACTCTAACCTGGTTAGCTTATCCATAATTTTAAGTAGTACATGTACAACTTAATTTTGGCTTATCAGTTTTTTATCGCTTTGATTGTGTATTTTTTTCTTTATTCACAGAGAAGGCAAATTTGCTTAAACATCCTCCAGTTGCTATTTTGCCTCTTGGGACTGGCAATGATTTAGCAAGATGTCTGAGATGGGGAGGAGGTAAACATGAGTTAAAATATATTGCATTATGTTGTTAAAAAAGAAACAGAAGTTTACTGACAAAATCTACTTGCAACATTGATTTCTCTCTTATGATGTGTGAAGACCCATTGTCAATTTTATTTCTTTTGCCTCTTGGAATGAATTTTGAGTGTAAATATGGAGTAAAACTAGATTTTGGTCTCTAAATGGCACATCAAAATTCCTAATGGATAATAAGGTCCATATTCTATTACTTTGCTTGTAACTCCCATTTCTGTCAATCAGAGCTCTATAGACTGAAGGAGAGTACAATATGATCATGAAGGTTTAAAGTAGCCTGGCTTTGTATCACCTTTATTGCATTTATTCACATGATGAGTACCTGGTAAAAGAGTAAACTTAAATGTAGGGAGAGGGTTTACTTCAAATGGCTAATAGTTTATTGTTTTCAATATATTCAGAAACATTAAAGAAAAATGCAAGTGTCAGGCCACACTAAACTAGTAGCTTTGATATGACTAGTCTTTGTTGTTCATTGCCTCTTCTCTCATCCCGGTGAAGATTCAAGACAATCAGCATGTTGGTGCCATCTACCAGAAAGCAAGGAGGCAAAGAATAGTGAAAGCAAGAGTATATGTAAATCTTTTCCTGGAAGCATGGAACCTTCCTTTCAGCTCTTTTAATGACTGCTTTCCATCCATGGCAGGATGAAAAGAGAAGAGCAAGCACAACCTGAAGACGAGGGACAAGAATAGGAAGGTTTCAGAGTAGCAGCCGTGTTAGTCTGTATTCACAAAAAGAAAAGAAAAGGAGTACTTGTGGCACCTTAGAGACTAACAAATTTATTTGAGCATAACCTTTCGTGAGCTACAGCTCACTTCATCGGATGCATTCAGTGGAAAATCCGATGCAGTGAGCTGTAGCTCACGAAAGCTTATGCTCAAATAAATTTGTTAGTCTCTAAGGTGCCACAAGTCCTCCTTTTCTTTTTAGGAATAGAAAGGACTCAGCCAAGACTAGGCACCTGTCTGGTGGCTGTATCCCAGCTGCACAGGCTCACAACATCAGAAAGAATGTTGGAGAGACCCCTTCATGGGATCCAGCTGTGCAAACTTTCTCTCAGCAGGGGACTAATAGCTCTAGCTCAAATTTCTTATTCCCTCTAGACTCAGGGATTTGATCTCAACCTGCTGGTGTCCAGTGGATTCGGTTTGGGATCCAATGCTGATTCCATTTCAACTCTCCCTCAGTCATTTCAGTCTGAATGCTGCCCTGTTTCTGGTGCTCTTTCAGCTTCTGCTGCTCTTTCCTTCTGTTTCCCTCACTCCTTATGCTTAAAATGTAAGTAATTTACAGGGATTATTTTATCTTCCCCCTCTTCTGTATCCTTCATTGGTTCCTGGGTGCAGATCTTTGTAACCCCACTCCAGTGTTGGCAAACTCTTCTGCAATGCAGTGGCTTTTATTCCTGCTCTGTGGAGAGTGCTTCTAGGCACTCTTTGCCTCCTGCAGCTGTCTTTCTCACTTCTGCAAAATTGGTCATAGGTGGAAGGCTATCTTGATTTCTGTTTGGGTTTTCCTCCTCATTACTGGGTGTGCATGACCCCCCCCCAATATTTTCCACTTATGAAAACCTCAGAAAACCATGGCCTCCTCCACAGGAGCAGGAAACAGGACCCCTACTTATGAAATCCAAGGCAAGCTTATCATTCGTGCCCTCTAACAGGTATGTAAGTAGGCAGTGAGTTGTGGGACAATGACTCCCTCAGATCTCATGACCCCTAAACCTAGACTTCATCTGTCAATTTGCTGTCAAAAATAGCTCTCCTTAGCAGGCACCCCTTCAGCACAGCATGCACATTGCTAGCTCCTGCCTGCATTCCTTTATATATTGGGCGCTGTGAGCACAGCTCCCACGTCTGGTCTTTCTTTGGGATCCTATTTCTGTTTTCTAAAAGAGTAGGCAATAAATGAGTATCTTGATTTTCAGATGTGCTGAGTTTCTGCAGCTTCCAGTGGGCCTAATGCAGCTCAGCTTTGTCTTACAGAGCAAGATAGTTTAGGTTTCACAAGGTTAGCTGCCTCCATCTCCACAGGGGTTGCAGCTCAGATTCACTTTCCCTTCCATCTTACTAATTGCTAGGTCCACAGACTCAAGTCTCTACATTCTTGCCCTCTGACCAGTGAGAGCAGGAATCTAGAACTCTAGGTTCCAGATCCACAGAGGAGTTAGGCACCTAAACCTAAGAGGTAGATGCCTAAACCTGTTTTTTTAGGCACAACTGACATCCACAAAACTCCTGCTTGGCTGCCACCTAACTGTGTAGGTGCCTAAACTCACTCAACGCCTACGTTTTTGCAGTAAAAGTTCCCTGGCACCTATGTTCCTGCCTCTAGGCATGCACACTGCTGCCTCATTCTAGGAGTCTGGATGCCTGTCTCCTGCCTAAGTCCCAGAGTGATCCACAAACCAAGGAAAGACAGGTGCTCCTCTGCCTAACTTGCATGCAGCGCCTGATACAGTATGTATGCTTACGTAGAGGCCACCTAATTCCACAAAACACAGCTGGGCGGGGACTTCCCTAATAATCTTTAGCCCAGTGGTTAGGGAACTTCACCTAGCATGTAGGAGACCCCCAGTCCTTCCTCTGCCTGATGAAGAGAAGGGATTTAAACATGGGTCTCACACTTCTCAGGTGAGTTCCCGAAGCACTGGGCTATAGCACATTCTGATGTGGGTCTCCCTCAATCTCTCCCATTGACATTGTTCCATTTTAATTAAATAATTGAACAATTAAATATTAATTGGGCCAGAGAGAGAGTGAGATTGACCCTATAGCCTACTGGTCAGAGCATTTACCTAAGAGGTGGGAGATCCCTGTTCAAATCCCTTCGTATTAGGGAAAGGGGGGGACATAAACTGGGGTCTCCCAATCCCAATCTAACCACAGACTAAAGGTTATAAAGGAGATCCTCCTCCCTTCCCTTTCTTCTCTCACCTGTTTTATGTGGAGTTAGGTGTCCTCTGAGCATGCATACCAGGTCAGGACCTGCATGCAAGTTAGACAGAGGAACACTTATCTTCCTGTAGTTTGTGGATCGCTAGCAGAGATAGGCACCTCCCTGCAGCCAGGAGATGGGTGCCTATCTCTGAGAGAGGGAGGCGGGGCTTAGGACACACTCCTCTCATCAGCATCTCAAATTGGCTAGCTTGGGCAGCTCCCCGCCTAGCGTGCTGGCAGTTCAAAGGTGCCCTTCTCTCCTCATTGATTCTACATGGAGCTTACAAGCCTGACTCTGTCTTTGTGGATGACAGTGTTCTTCCTGTGATGCTCCAGACACTGAACATCGCAATGCCTAAGTCCTGGATCTAGGTTTCTCCATCCTCTTTTCCTTTGTTTAATAGGAATTTCTGTTGGTCTCTGATACTGGGGGGGAGGCTCATCTTCCTAATACTTCTCTCCTTAGAGGCTGTTTTCCCTCCTGTTTTTTCTGTTGTAGCTCAGGCAGGTTGTATTGTCTGTTGGTTCATTTGGAACTGCTGTTCTCTTGTCAGTCACTGGGTGAAATTCATTTTAGTTCTTCTACTCCACGGTGACAGGTTGCCCTTCAACTGTGTGTGTGTGTGTTTCTTTGCTGTGGTATCTCTCCCCATCAGAAGGCTCTCTGGAGAAATCTCACTAGCTTGCATGCTACAATGCTCCCTTTTGAGTTACAATGTCTGTTGAGTATCCAGACATTTCAGGGACTTTTTAGCTTCCTCTCTGGTGCCTTTTCAGTGCATGATAACTGTCCACTTCCCAAGCCTTAGACAGAACAATCTGGTAGGTCAGGCTTATCTTCTCCCTAATTCCTGCTTAGACAGTCCCTCTTGATGGAAGATATTTTTAAATCATTTGCCTTTGCTAATGGAAAGAGGTAAAAATAACTATGACATTGTTTAAAAATATTGATGAACATTTCATCCCCAAAATGGATTTGATACATGAATCAGCATGTTTTTACCAAGTGTGCAAAGGTCTGGAGAAGGAATGGAAGCCTTGATAAATGGTCCTATATAAGTAAGCAGAACATCATTAAGGTATCAGTAGGGAAGAATACCAGAGAAACTGTCTAGAAGGTGCAATTTTAAATAAAAAGAGTTTTATTAGACTTCTCAAAAACCTTACCCAGCCCCCTTCAGCGAAACATTTTGCTACAAACTTAGAGACAGTATGCATATCTCATGCTACTGTGTCTCAGGAATGGAATACCACATTTCAGACATTTTGTTCTCTCAGCTTCTATGACCATTCTTACTGATAGCTAAAACTTCCTCTATAGATTTTTTGAGGTCTCTGTATTGTCCCTTAGATTTGCTGCTCTTGTTGATTTTCTACAGAGGTTGGACTTACCTCTCCTCTTAGATTCTTTACTTGTAGATCTCAGACCTAACCGTCATTTTTTCCAGATCAGCATTGAGTATATTGGGGGGGGGGAGGAGAGAGCGAGAACTGCTTTTATCTGTGATGCAGTGAGAGCTATGGCAAAGCTCTTAGTAGGTCAATGTCTTGTTCTATACTATTTTGCATTATATAGCACCTTCTCTCTTTGCATCTTAGAGAACTTTTTTTCAAATATTAATGAGTCAGTTCTCACACATCACCCAGAGGTAGATTATTGTGTCCCTGTTTTGTCAATGGTGAGCATGAGGCGTGGATGTGTGGGGTAACTTGCCCATTGTCTCATGGGAGGTATGTTGCAGTGCTGCTTGCGACAGAGCCTTATATGGCTCATGACTTTGTCTGTATAGAGAATCAGACGTTGGCTTCACTTTACGAGCTCCAGACACTCTTTTCCTCAAAAGCATTGAGTGCAGCCCCATGCCTCAGTTCTCAAATCTATTTTTTTTCTCCAGTGTGAGAGGGAATGAAAGGGGATCCAGTTTAGACTTCTGTTCCCTTATCCTTGGGGAAAGGAAGTTAAATTAAGAGGCATCCTTTCTTTTTATGCCATCTGTAAGGATCTTTTTCAGTGTTTTGATCTGTCTCCAGATCCCATGACAAGTATTCTGGTCTTAGGCCTTACACCCTCTTACTGAGATCCCTTCTGTGGGACAGGTAAAAAGAGTTTATCCCTTTCCTAAACTCCCTTTAATTCCCTGGAAGTTATGCAAGATCAGAGTTTAGAGTGGACAAGGCAGTCACTATTCAGGTTTTTCCCCACCTGGCCTTGTAGATTCTGCCCTCCAAGTCCCTGGATCTAGTGATGGTGCACATGTGGACCGTTTCAATCTGCCCTGATTTCCTCTTCTAGGGTCTAGTCCCCTACCTCAACTCTATCTTCCTCTACTTTATGGCCTAGAGGATGAATGAAACAAGTTCATAGAGAAAGGAAGTATATTGACTTTAATACCTGCAAGCCATTGATCAAGAACATTAATCATGGGTCTTGATGGCCTTATTTAATTGCTGTGCATGCAGGCATACCACACCTTCAAGCTTTCTGTTCAAAAAGTCTCACAGTTTTTTTTTTATCTGAGGTCATCAGTGCCTGAAATTCCCCTCTCTGTATTCAGGTTTCAGCTATCTTGGCCAGAGTTAAATGGAATTTTTCATGCCATACTAATGCCTCCATTTTTAAAAATGCCCTCTTCTTATGGGAACTAGTTTTCAGAAATGTTAGCGCTCAATGAGACTTGCCAAGTGTGGTCCAGAATTGGGATATGTATGAAAAGTTTTCTTGCATTTGTTGACTGTGAAAGTGACTCTATTAATTGTTATACCCCTGTTCAGCGTATTGGATAATTATTGTTCTTCCTAATTATCACTGTCCAGTTGTCACTAGCTCTAGATCGATTTTGGAATTCCACATGAATGAGTCTGTGGTCTTGCCAACCCTCTGTTTGAATCCCTCCAATTCCTTTGAGAAGAAACTTTTTCTGGATGTAAAAAGAGTTTTTTTTAGATTTTACCTGCACCATATATAGCCCATGAGAAGGGTGAAGAGTCTGTCCATTCCCATGAACCAAGGCATAGGTCTCTGGCTTCCATGCAGCTGTCAGTTGTTGACTAAATCAGTTATTAATCTGATTTGTAGATGGGGAAGACTCCACCTCTGCCAGTGAAAGCCCACTGTACTCTGGGTATATTCTTCCTCCTGTGCTGAAAAGGCCAACATAATTTCAGTAGAAATGTGCAAGGCCATTACATGGTTCTTGCTTTCCACTTTAATCATATACTGTCTATCTTACATACCCATCACCAGAGTGTGAGTGCCTTCTACTAGGAAAACGTTAACAGCAGAGGCAAACTTAGCTTGTAAGGCTCCCCAAACCAACCCCCTCTGACGCATCTGTGTGCTATGTCTGATGATTGTCTGGAATCTCCTGCAAGATGGAAGAAGATGGAGACAAAGATGGGGACAATGGAAAATTACTCACTTGTGATTAAATTTGTCAAGTTCCCTCCTCTTCTCCCATCCGGCAACCTTCTCTCTTTTCCCTTGTTCTGAGTTATCCCATCTGGACTGAGAGGTATCAGTTTGAAATTTACTGATCAGATGGTGGGAAGAGTCAATGCTCTTTATTCTCGGTCTTTCACTATTCTTTGCCTCCTATCTTCCTGGTAAACAGCACCATAACACTGATTTTCTGAACCATCCATAGGATAGGAGAAAAGATGAGACCTCTGCAAACTGAATTTCCGGTGAGTGATTTTCCCTTCTCAAAGATACAGACTCCAGGCATGAAGTATAAATAGTGAAACAAGTAACTATGGTACTCAGAGAATCAGATGCACTGCTGCTGTATGTGGAGGGTGGCAATATGTAGCTATGCCACTACATACCAGTGTAGATCACAATTGAAAGAGTCTAGGAGGGGTTTGAATGGCTTTGGACACACTCATTGCAACAGTAGGACTTTGCACCAATCAATGGATGTGGTTGCCTGTGTTCATGGCAACTACTATCTGCAGATTGGTTCAAAACATTCACACCTACTTGGTTTTAAAACTAATGGGGGTCTCAGATCTGATGTATTTGCAGAGATAAAAATAACTGTTGGTACTCGTCACCCTCTACCATACCTTTAACAGCAAGTAGACCCATTGCTTGGTTTGGACATACGTTTTTACTGCTGACACTGGTGGTGACCCAGCATGGACATATTCTTGTCTACATGCACTTAATCTTGCTTTGGAGAAGGAGTAAATCCATGGATCTAGGGTTGCTGCTGCACAGCCATTTTGTCTGAACAGCATATGAAGTTGGTCAATGAAGTCCCCTTTTCCTGTTGTGCAGGGTGTAGCTTCTTGGGGCTCTGCAGATTGTAATTAAGTCCATTCCTACCCAATACAATGTATGGTGCAGTCAGTATTCTAGTGGAGGGCCTATTTAGTTACCAGAAGTGCCAGGCAAGTGGTCTACTCATAGGAGTAGACTTCTATATCCACAGGATCAGGCCTAAGGTATGTGCCCATTGGGAAGAGGAAGGGAGGATGCATAGAATAAAAGTGGATGCACCATACTTCATTTATTATACTAACACCACACTTTATTAGGGTTATGCTAAGTAACCCTATGTTCGGGAAAAATCACTGCTATAATTTCTATTTAGAAAACACACAGGGACTTGTATTGCTGCTGTCAAAAGCTGAGCACACCAACAGCAAAGTGACTCAACGTCTGGATGAACTTTCCAGACTGTAATCAAAATATGGAAAACCAGTTAATCTGCTGATCACTATGCTTCTCAGTTCGGAATGGTTTCCAGGCATTTGGTTGTGTTACCACAAATCTCTTTGGAAACTTTGACAAAAGCGATAGACACATGAACAGAAGTTTTAACTCCTCAGCATACTGTCATACTTTCTTAGGGCACTGCCTCTGCTCTTTTAACCTCTGTACGTATATTTTGAAATGAAAGTATTTTACATGTTAACATTCACTGTATAGCATAAACATGCTGCAAAGTTTAGCTTGGTGGTGTCTGAATACAATCAGGTAACTGCTGGAAAATTCCAGTTAGTAGATCAAATCTGCTCACAGTTACACTGAGTGTAAATCCAAAGTCTATTGAAATCAGTGAAGTCATTTTAAGTTTATATTGATATGGCTGAGTGCAGAAGTTAGCATTGTATTTACATTTCCCTTAATTATAGTTACTGGAAGATTGGTAATGGAGAAAAATATAATTCTGTGCTTCAGGTTTTATATGTGCAGATACAATTTTCCTAACTAGGAATGGGGGTAACATCAGCAGAGTTTGTCACATTTATTAAAAATCATCATGTTCACCCTTTGCTAGGATATGAAGGTGAGAATCTGATGAAGATCTTGAAAGACATTGAGAACAGCACAGAGATCTTGCTGGACAGATGGAAATTTGAAGTCATACCCAATGATAAAGATGAGAAAGGCGACCCAGTGCCTTACAGCATCATCAATAATTACTTTTCTATTGGCGTGGTAAGAAAGTCATGCTTAGCCTTCAGTGATATTTTTTTCTGTTCTGAATAAATGTATGCATGCGTGTCTCAGAGTGAAGTATGACTGGCTAGAGATCATTTATGATGTCATTTTGCTAGTAAAATGAATACATAGGTGACTGACAACGATTTGCATAAATTTACTTTCACATTCAAACTAGAATTATTTTTCAGAATCTTCCACCCACCTATGTATAGAGGAGAAAGTCATGTTGTTCTTAATGGTGTGATGAGCAGCTGCAGTACTAAATTAGGAGTGTCACTATAAAGACCCCATAAAATATAAAAGAAGACTAAGCATTATTAACCCCTCTTAGTCACCTTGTCTGTTAATATTCATACATTCAAAATCATACTGAAGAACAGTGGGGGGGAGGGGTTCATTAGTACTTATTTAAGTTTGCTGCTTCTTCCCCTTCCCCTCTCCTTTACTCTGCTATCAGATCATCAGGGTAGTTCTCAAATAAAGAGAATCTTTTTGGTTCAATCCCATACATGTGAATTCACAGAATCTTCCATTCTGGAAAGTACTTTGCACAACTCTTCATTTCTTCCACATTGTGGCCTGTTTCTGCTCCATGGGAGTCAAAGTTGGGGGGTGGGGTGGGGGAGAGAGATCGCCATTGGCTTTATTGAAAGTAGGATTTGGTCCCTAGGTTTATTGGATCACCAGTAGGTGGTATGCGTTGTTCTGAAAGGTTCATTCTTAGTACAGGCACTGCTAAGTCTGATTTTTCCCACACCTTCACAGTGGTTTAAGCGAATGTCAGTCAAGGTGGCAAAGTTATCCATTATTTGGATAATGCAACAGCTTCCCTGATAAGTGACCCAGGATATTTGGCCTTTCTTTCTTCAGAGGAACCCTGGATGGTCCACAGTCTGCTCTCAAATTTTCTGGGTCTCCCCTTTTTAGCACAGGGGATCTGTGTTCTGTTTCTGTGAGGGCAGAGACTCTGCTAGCTACCAGGCCTCTTCCTGGGACTCAGAAGCTCAACAGCTGGCTCCCTTCCTAGGGCTCCCCACTACTGAGGAGCAGTGCTGCTCCAGCCCAAATCAGCTCCTTAACCCCTTCCACCCTGGTGCGGTGTTTATCCACCCCATCATAGGGACAGAAGAGAATGTTAAGTATGTAAGCAGGTTATGCTATTCATGTTTAATTTTGCTACCTCATATAAATGTGACAAAAGGGATATTAAGATAAACAGCTTCCCAATTAAGGGTGATATAGTGTGATTATGTATAGGAACTTAGAACTCTACTTTCAGAAAATGCTTGATGAGAGAGAATAGCACATGTGGAGGAAGGAAACAAGTCTGAATGCTGCACTGTCTTGGCTTTTTCTCTTTTCAAGCCTGAACACTGAATGCATACCATTTTCACAGGAGACAGCAGAAAAGATCCCAGCAGCTCATGGTGGCTCTGCACCCTTCTCCCCTCTTCCCTCTTGTGGAAAGTGGGTCAGCTCCTCCTCCCTCCTCCTTTAATCCTTCAACATCAGGCCTGGGAAGGAGTAGAAGGAGCCACTTCTGGAGTTTCTTTGCCCCAGGTTTGGGGCTGGGAGTTAAAGAGCTCCTGGAAATGGCCTCCTCCAGGGCTGGGGCTGGGGATAGTGAAGACACTGCTATGGCGATGGGAGAGCTTCTTCTGTTGGCATAGTTAATCCACCTCCACAAGAGGCGGTAGCTATGTTGACCAGGGCAGGGCAGGGGGGCTCTCCTGTTGACATACGCTGTCTACACCAAGGGTTGTGTTGGTTTAACTGCGTCGCTCAGGGGTGTGGATTTTTCACAAGCGACATAGTTATCCTGATGTAAGCATATAGTATAGACTTGGCCTAAAGAGCTCCTGGAGCTGTAGAGGAGCAAAGGTATGTAGAGGCAGCAAGGAACAGATGGTGGGGGGTTGGCAGGGGGTGCAGAATTGATGTGAGGATGGATGGGCAAAGTTGATGTGGGGCTGGGGACACACAAATTAATTGATGGAGCTCCGAAGGGGTACAGTATTGATATGGGCAGGGAGCTATCATTAATTGATATGGGGTTGGAGGATGGGCAGATGTAAGCCTGGTGGAGTGTCATTGGATGATCCGAGGAATGGAAAACCTGTCTTATGAAAGGAGACTCAAAGAGCTTGGCTTGTTTAGCCTAACCAAAAGAAGGCTGAGAAGAGATATGACTTCTCTCTATAAATATAACAGAGGGATAAATACCATGGAGGGAGAAGAATTATTTAAACTCAGTACCAGTGTGGACACAAGAACAAATGGATATAAACTGGCCATCAGGAAGTTTAGACTTGAAATTAGACAAAGGTTTCTAACCATCAGAGGAGTGAAGTTCTGGAACAGCCTTCCAAGGGAAGCAGTGGGGGCAAAAGACATATCGGGCTTCAAGACAAAGCTTGATAAGTTTATGGAGGAGATGATATGATGGGATAGCCTAATTTTGGCAATTAATTGATCTTTGACTCCTCGCGGTAGATATGCCCAATGGCCTGTGATGGGATGTTAGATGGGGTGGGATCTTAGTTACTACAGAGAATTATTCCCTGGGTGTCTGACTGGTAAAACTTGTCCACATGCTCAGGGTTTAGCTGATCGCCATATTTGGGGTCAGGAAGGAATTTTCCCCCAGGGCAGGTTTTTTCTTTCCTCTGCAGCGTGGGGCACGGGTCACTTGTTGGAGGATTCTCTGCACCTTGAAGTATTTAAACCACGATTTGAGGACTTCAATAGCTCAGACATAAGTTAGGGTTTTTTTACAGGAGTTGGTGGGTGAGATTCCATGGCCTTGTTGTGTTGTGCAGGAGGTCAGACTAGACGATCATAATGGTCCCTTCTGATCTTAGTCTATGAATTAATTAGTTGGCATTTTGGGACTTTGGGGAAGCTGTAAGCCCCACACCATTAGGCAGCACTTCATACAGATTTTTGTAATTTGATCTCCCTCAGGTCTTCTAGCAGGAACTCCTGAGCGAGGGCCAAAACCACCTTATTCTGGAGAGTTGGCAACACTGTAACTACCCTGGCTGGGATGATTTAGTTGGGGATTGGTTCTGCTTTGAGCAGGGGGTTGGACTAGATGACCTCCGGAGGTCCCTTCCAACCCTGATATTCTATGATTCTATGATACCCTACACATGCTGGGGATGAGCAATGGGAGTTCAGAAAACAGAAGACAGATCAGAAACATAACATTATTTTTTTAAAAAAAACAAACATCTCATAATTTTGGGGGTCTGACTCAAGATCTTTCAACTTTTGGAGTAGACATTTCTGCTTCCTCAAGGTGTGTAGCAGTTGGAACACTAAGAACTCCTGGTGACAGCCCTCTTTGGAACAAGGATCACCATGCCCATCTCAAACACACAATTGATTTCGGAATGAGTATCCTTCAGCAATATCCAGTTTTGTTGGACCATCAAAGGGAATTTTGCATTCACTGGTATCTTATATTTATTATGCAAACAATGTGAAGTTGTAGAAGTGGGTAAGTAAACAAATAGGGTTTTCTTAGAGTGACATAAATGACAGCAGCCTAAACAAGCATAAATTCAGTGTGTGCATTTGTGTAGCTCCAATTGACTTCAGTTGTAGCTCCTCAGACACCGTTATTTTATTTTGCATTTATGTAGATAATGCTACTGTAGGAAATTGTGCTAAGATTAGACTCTTACACTGGGAATTCCAAAAGCCCACTTAGCACAGTGGCAACCATTGTATAGAGTTGCATTTAATTGAAATGCAGGGCCGGCCACCTTCCTTTCACACAGGGTACATTGAGGTCCAAATGGAACCTTGCGACAATGCAAAAATGTTTAAGTGCTACCATTCTGATTTGGTGGCATTGTAAACACACTTAGCCCCAGTGTAAGTACAGGTGCAGAAGACTGGTAAATTTGTGACTTTATCTCCAGGTGTAGAACTAATGGTCCATGTGCAAACGGCAATGCAAGTACTCAATCCAACTGAATCAGGTTTCTTTGCTAATACCAATAGATACTCAGCCCTAATGCCAAAACAGTGCTTGTGCTAGTCAAGCACCTTAGCCCCGTTCTGTTTTCACAACATGCAATATTGATTTCTTAACAACTCTTAATCATCCTAGTTAATTCTAATTTGGATAGTTTTCAACCAAAAAAAATCTGCATTGCAAGTATATATGAGTAAGGCAGTGAGAAGATTCAAAAATATCTGGAAATATTCTCCAGGTTCCATGAGAAACAACTCAGTAATACATGCTGTTTAAAAAAAAAAAAGAGGAAAAAAAAAGTCACCATAATGAGTGGAAGCCTCATTCATATCAGTACTGTTGATGAACTGAAATCAGTATGTGTTTCCTGCAAAATTGTCAGAAGGTAGCAAAGGTTCACAACAAAGACAAGTGTACTTTTACGATACATAATATATTACCAACCAAATGCACTATCAAATAGATATTTGCACGGTCATGATTTACTATTCCTCAGCTTTAGCAAGTTACTAACAGCCTCTTATTCCGCCAATGTAAAAAAAAATATGACTGCTTACTTCTTATAATCATAAAGTTGCAGTTATGGTTCTAGCTCCCCATCACTATCTCCTAAGTTGTCAGCATCCTCTTCCATTACATTTTCTTCATTCATTTCAGCAGAAGTGAAGGAAAATCTCAGTTAAAACAACTTGGGGGCATATTTTATTCTTGTTCTATCTGCGGACTTCCTGCTGACATCTATGAGACATTTATGTAGAGACAGGAGTTTTAATCAAAGGGCTAATATAGATTTTAGTCAATAATGGCAGAGTCTAAATATGATAGTCATCTAGCTGACAGTAATGGTCTCACAGTGTACTGTTCAATCTTGTACTCCACCTACCTCTTTCAGACTATACTGATTTCTACAAAGTACGATATTGTCATTCATAATATTCAGGTACAGTATTATTTTTCGGTTTGTCTTGACATGGGTTCATGGAAAATAGATCCTGTCAAACAAATGTGT